AAATTGAATGCAGCGGTCAAGGAAAAGCGACCAGAATTGGTCAATCGTAAAGGTGTCATTTTCCAGCAGGACAATGCTAGGCCGCACACGTCTTTGTCCAGTCGGCAAAAATTAATGGATATTAGTTGGGAATTGATGTTACACCCACCATATAGCCCTGATCTCGCGCCATCGGATCACCACTTATTTCGATCCCTGGACAACTTCCTTCGTGGTAAAACTTTGAATGACGATGACGCTGTAAAATCTCACTTAACTCAGTTTTTGGCCGAAAAGGATCAGACTTTCTACGAGCGTGGAATTTTCAAGTTGTCAGAGAGATGGCAAAAGGTCATCGAACAAAATGGAAAGTACATTACAGATTAAACTTCGTTCCAAGTAAAAAAAAATCTTTATTTCATTGAACAAATCGGCAATTACTTAGTTGCCAACCCAATACTTCCAATTTCTTATGCTTGTTCAAAAGTTCATAGAACAGCTTAAATCTTCGAGCCTAATGAGATTATGAGAGGATTCAAGAGGAAAGGACAATGGAAATGTATTCGAGACAAGGAATTTTTCAAACTTGAAACGTAAGAATGGTATTTAGGATGCGAATTACCGTATTATTTATGGCCTTGTCAGATTGTAATTTGCACGCTTCGTGTATTAGTTTTTGCAGAGTAAATTTCTTCTTTCGAAGTTAGCAAACTCATGTTGGGCAAACCGATTCCATAAGTATCATCGGTTCATTTGCAAAAGACTAGTTCTTTACGTTCAAATTTTCGATACAACATGTCGATAAACTGTTCAAGAGATTACGTTCGTGACATATTATTTTTACTTGTTTCGTAAAAAATGCGATATATGTACATGTATAATAATACATTGAATTTCCCAGAGAGCTGAGGCTACGTGAGATTTTTTTATGATGTACTTTGGAAGATAAGTTGAAAGCGAACGCAATGCCGATGTTTTTAACGTGATTAAATTTGGTTAGTAACCCAATATTATTATTATTATTATTATTATTAATATCATTAATATTATTAATATTTGCACATATTTAATCTTTTTTCTATCGCTTCATCTTTCAAACAACTAGTCTGCCTTCGCAGGGAATCTGAGAAGTTTGAAATCAAGCAAAATCGAGATGTTGGTGCACTTATCGAGACTTAGCATCGATTCTTTATCGCGACTTCATTATCGCATATTTTTCGATATTGTTGTAATTAGATTGCGGATTTTTCTGCAAAATAAAAACTGCCTGCATTAACTACAAGGTACAGCTAGCTACGTTCATTTTCCTGATTGATAATTTATTTATATAAATAATTTTAATGAGTTGACAGAAATATAAGTGTTTGTATATTCTTTAAATCTAGAAACTGATTTGCAGTTAAACTATTCGTTTTTCCTCGTAAACGCATAAAAGAAATCCGTAAAGAATGTTGCGTAACGAGAATCTGTCTGAATTACGTGAATAAAAAGAGATCGATCAACCTGCCAGCAAGAATAATTGAAAATAATTATGTACATACAAAGGTGATGAAGATAAAAATGTGCAGGCAACAAGGTGAAATCATTCTGCTAATTGAGGAACATATGAAAATAATGTTCACGTAAAATTCTCAGTAAAGTTTTCAGTGACATATACAAAATTCAGAAACTTCGTGCTTATTCTCTGCGGAACGAACAACTGCGAACGCGTATGTGACAAATTTGTTCAATTTTTATCCCATGTTACGTTGCAGTACGTCAGTATATGGCGGTAACCCTTCTTGTCGCAACATTCCGCGACGTGAAACCAATTAATCATGTCGATCTGTCTGCAGATATCGACTGCCACGCTTCCTCCGTCAGACTATTTGATTTTTTCCATACCTTCTGATTTCCGCAGTTTTATTTTCGTTTTCCATATACAATACACTGACATGATCATCTCGACTAGATCGAGGTCAGGAGATTGCTTGAACTATTTTCGGATATTAATATTTCGATAATAATGAGAACGGTGACGCGTACAGTGCACTATAGATTGTTATCTATTTCATAGATCAAATCAGACGCCATACACGTTCCCATAAGCGTTGGTAATTTCATTATCGCGTTCGCGTTATAATGAGTATTTCCATGTATTCGATAAATTGCATCAACATCATTTAATGACGCATGCAAACACTATTTGCGTGACCCGAAATAACCACAGACTTAGCACCGCCTTTTATCTTCAGATTGGTACAATTTTGCAGTAAACGATGAGGCATTTGCATTCGTTTATGCTTCGTTTCATTACTTACTTTCATGAAATCGCTTCTGACGATTAAACATTTGTAATTGTTAACGCCAATTTAACGATTTATTTAGATTAATATTGTGTAGCAATTTCTTCTAAAATCGTTGTTCAAGAAAAAACTATCGAGCTTCTTTTGTTTACATTACCATCATTGAGAAGTCTATTCATAGTAAGTAAAGTTTTTGCTAAGTAAAGTGTTAATTTAAAGTTGCCTAATTTATAAAGACTCTTTCATATGATATATTTGCTATTTCCAACTTACATTATAATAAAAATGGCTTCTTTTGTGTATCACCATCCTTTTATATCATCATCATTGAGAAGCCTATTCATAGTAAGTAAAGCTTCTGCTAAGTAAAGCGTTAATTTAAAGTTGCCTAATTTATAAAGACTCCTTCACATAATATATTTGCTAATCCTAACGTGCATTATAATAAAAATGGCGAAAGGTCTAAATAAATTCTAATTTGCCATCGTTAGCAAGTGATACATACCAGTGACTGTCACTAAACAAGTAACGTGTTCAACAAGGAATATTAAAATTTTTGTAAAAAAAGTAGTAAGCACAGGACAGGTAAAATAGCGTAGGCAATTTCTGGGTCATTACCTCGAGAACATAGGGCGTGTCCGGTGTGTTCCCCGGCAAATTAGTTGAGACGTTTAAGAGCTTCTCCCCCTTGCTAAGCTTCACGATATCCAGAGGGCCAGCCTCTGCTGCATTTCTAAAGATTTCTGTAACAGAAAGATTTTTCGCATGAGTGATTGGGCTTTTCTCTAAAATATTAACCCTTTGATGCACAGATATACACCAGACTGGGGACCTACGTGCAAAATGAAAATTTTCCGCAAGGTAAATATTGGGTTGGCAACTAAGTAATTGCCGATTTGTTTAATGAAATAAAAAATTTTTTTCACTTGGAATGAAGTTTAATCTGTAATGTATTTTCCATTTTGTTCGATGATCTTCTGCCATCTCTCCGACAACTTGAAAATTCCACGCTCGTAGAAAGTCTGATCCTTTTCGGCCAAAAACTGAGTTAAGTGAGATTTTACAGCGTCATCATCATTCAAAGTTTTACCACGAAGGGAGTTGTCCAGGGATCGAAATAAGTGGTAATCCGATGGCGCGAGATCAGGGCTATATGGTGGGTGTAACATCAATTCCCAACCAATATCCATCAATTTTTGCCGAGTGGACAAAGACGTGTGCGGCCTAGCATTGTCCTGGTGCAAAATGACACTTTTACGATTGACCAATTCTGGTCAATAAAATAATAATAATAATAATAATAATAATAATAATAATAATAATAATAATTTTATAATATAACATTTACGGATATCATAAAAATGGGAGTGAGAGACATCTATAATTAAAATCGACGATTACTTAGTTGCCAACCCAATAGAAAGTTTTCTGTCTCATTAATTGTAACGAGCTCATAGCAGCATGGCACCGTTCTTTCGTCTTCACCGCTTGTTCATTTTTGCCATAAACACATAAAATTCGCAGGCTAATTACAATTGTATTTAAAATGTGATGAACTGCTCCGATGGTTAAACGAAATCGAATTTCTTTTCGTTTAACTTGTTCGTAGCAAAATGGTTCAACTTGTTCCTCAAGTCGACTCATCGTTGTCACAGTTTTAGCATTTCATTGTTAGCACTAAGAAATCCGTGCAACGAAGGTGTCACGTCGATTCACTCTCTGAATCAATTATTTCATATGAAACACAATTCGCTGGTAAACACTCGACGTTTATAATTCAGTACGAAAGTAATCCGACCACGTTGTAACTCATCCTGGATCGTTGTCAAAGTCTCAGTTACTAAATTCCCAATATTTCAGTAGTATAGCGCAACAATGGTCGTACATTCCACACGAGAGGCGCGTGCTCTTGTTTCCTTGATAAACATCGTTGAAATGCCGACACGTTGCAGTATCACTATCATAAGCTTGTCGTTTTCATGCAGAGTACCGATCATCACCCTGTGTGTTTAAATAAAATATCGATTCGCGTGGCGGGCTTGCAGATTTCCAGAAACATTGCACGCGCGATCGCCAATACGAGTTATCCATCTCGTTTAGGTATACAATTTATATGGAATTTTCATTTTTCCCACCGTAACGATCGCAGCGACACGTGTCACCAAAAAAAAAAAAAACAACAACAGAAAATTGAATCACAACAAACTGAATTATCATCGGATACAAATTGAGTTCCACAGGTTGGTAAACCATTGTTAACAAAACGATATCGCGTAAATTTCAGCAGAACTTTATGCAAATATTTTTGAGCCAAATTCCAACAAATTACCAACACCTGAGTGACTTCAAAAATCATTGTTTGAGCAGCTTGAACAAATCACTCTTCCGCATTGGGACGGAAGATAACGGTTATCCTCGAAAACTGTTTATGGCAGATTTTATACCTAACCAGAAGCAGCATTCGCGCAAATAATTCAGACGGTCGCAACGTTTCGGGAAGCGTTCGGCAGCGCCCATTGTGTCGAACACGTGACTCATTTATTACACAATAGACGTATTCGAAACGAGGCTCGCGCCATAACAAACGACATCGCGTTGGAAATCAACGGGCAAGCATTCGGCCGATCTGCCGGCCGTGTACATTATTTAACCCTTAGCACAGCTACTCAGCGCCACTTTTCGGCAGAAGCGGACATTTACAGACCCTCGTATTATTTAGTATGGTTTTGGAACTAACTAACATACTATAATAATATTGGACTTATATGAATTTGGCTGAAATCGAGAAATTTGCAAAAAAATCAATACTTTATTTTTTATAATTTTGTTATTGTTTGTTTTATAATTTCGTTTTGTTGTTGTAATCGCTATCTACGCGAACTCTTCCTCTCGTCGCCTTGTTGCTTGGACGATATCACTATCACTGCTATCAAAACGATAGACTAACTGTAGAATAAAACCTTCCACAGTTAGTCTTTCTAACATATCTGTATAAAAGCCTATCTGGAGCTCATCTTCACTAATACTTGTGTCATGAGACTCATTCGTGTTTGAACGTTTTGCCATTGTTCTAATCAAAAATATGAATAAATACATAGGTTGAAAATTTCTAATTGTTATTACTAACTCACAAGATGATA